GTATGCAAGTTGCGCATTTTTTTTACAAAGTAGGTGTTAAGTTTTCGATTGTGATAATGTACACTCCATTTGCTATTTTTCTAACAAGAATACTCCATATCGAAACCCAATTAATCTTTTGAATAAACATAATCGTTTTAAACCGGACCATTGTCACTTACTTAAAAATTGTTTAATCTTTGTTTTAAAATATAAAAAAAAAGGAAAAGATACATTGATTGGATGATTTTTTAGTTTGTAAATCTGAGAATATTAACTTTAATAAGGATTAGTGTAATGCGAAAATGATATACTAACTGATTATCTTTATTAGTCAATGACACATAATTGCTGCTTTACTCGATTGCTTCACACGAATCATTCCAAACAATTGGAGATACCCCCAAAAAGATTCGTATCAAAATATGAGTCATAAGAAAATGTAGGGGCCAATTTCTGAAAACTAATAACAAAATATTCTTTACAGTTGGTCCCGTGTGCGTAACGAGTGAGGGAACAAATTGCAAATTCTAAAAAGTTAAAGACTAACAATTATAAAACAAAAAAAAATGACGTTGGCAAATTGCAATTTCGTAAAAGTTAAAAAGACTAATGACGATAATAATCAAATAAATGACGCGAGCGGTGAAGCAATTCGTGTCATTACACTTCTGGTCTCAACTAATTTAAGTCATTCTCTTTATTTATTTTTTTCTTTTTTGCTTTACCAAAGCATACCAAAAGAGAAACATTATTTTATAATTTTGNTATCTTTGATTTTAATGGAAGCTGACCATTCGATGACCAAAAAAGAGATAAACACTGTAATATTTTTCTTAATTTAATGCTTAAAAAGTTAATAATATCACATTCGTAGTATATGGCGTCATTTCTGGCTTTTGACCCATACGCAGAGACAATTTTTATATAGAACCTTACGTGATTATTGACCGGCCATGATCTTAATCATATTTTAATATATTTACGCTTATGTAATACCTTTCTTTCTAATGAATTGTACGTGGATTAGTTTAAAGATACTTCTTCATAAATCGTAGATCAATACCATTGGTCTTGCTTTCGTTCTCTTAATCTGGGTGTCCATTTCCGGATTGGTTTTTCGCCTCGATCGGTTTTTTTTCTTTTTCATATTCATATATATGTTATAATATCTGGAATAACGTAGTAATATATTCTAAAAGATAAGAAAACAGATTGAGTATATGATAGAATACGCGGATTAACTGTTTGCGTATAATTATTTAACAATGTGAAAAATATCTAGTAGCATTTGAATTTAAAGTTCCCAAAAAATATTTGACTTGTCGAAAATATACAATTTAACAAAAAAAAGATTTTTGATTTTATTGATATGTAAGAACAATTTTTTATAAAAAAAAAAACTTTAGATTGTCACCAA